GTGCTGTTCAGTCGACTGAATATATCGACGAGGTGTTTGGCCTGACTGCTGCCTCGGAGGCCTGTTTGACTGCGGGTGAGAATGGCATTTCCACACAGGCAGTCTCACCCCCAACCGGGTACGCCACGGGACACGAGAATTTGGACCGATTCACTGAGCTTGTGAATCGTGAAGCCTACTGGGCTCCCACGGAGATTTGCAACGAAAACAATTTGAATCGTCGGGTGGATTTGCTCAAGCGCTTTATCAAGGTAAACATGCTCCGAACCCCGATTCCTTGTGTCGCCCAGTAACTCTGACGCTAGCTTATATATGCCTCAGCTCGAGCCATCACAGTTTTTTAACTCCCTTAGACGAGCTAGCTCCCGGTGATTCATCAATCTGGTGGTATTTAAACGCATGACCACCGGGACGATGTGGGGGGATCCGTGATACTTGATTACTGTCATTCGTACGCGATTGAGTGTAGAGTTTTGATCCGCCACCCCCTGCTCCCTAATTGTAATTCGTGGTTCTCGAGGCGGAAGCCTCCGAATCATCACTTTTTTTAAGGAGAACTGTCTTACAAAACTTCGCCGGATTCTGTCAAAAGTGGATACTCCTTTATCTCTCTCTCTCTGTCACAACGATATCCACTTTCGAGCCGTGCACCAGTTATTCTGTTGAAATAGATTTCTGGTTCAGTGTCCTGACTCAGGTAATCTATAGCCTGCGTGTAGTAGGCATATGACAGGGGGCCATATGAGTTTCTGTCATGTGTGCATACATTTGTCTGTGTATTCTCGCTTGACTATAGCGGTTGGTTGTAAGGGCCATGTATTCTGTAAAAGTACAATCCGATCTAAACTGCATGTGACCTCATTGTGCACACCCATACACAATTTCTCGTCTGTCAGTGGCTTAGGCGTTGTCTCTGGAATTGCACAGATTATGGTGGGGGGAGCGTATTCCCACATGTATGTGTCTGTGCGTGTGTATATGCCAGTGCTAATTGAGCAAATTTTTTTTTCTGAATCCACCTTCTATGTATGTTGGAATGAGTTCATTCTCCCGCAATGGGACTGCAATTTGCGTGTGTGGGGG